ATAGATATAGTATTTAAAACCATCAACAAACGTCTAAAAACATTATTTAATACAAAACTTAATAATCATAAAAATAACAGTAACATTGACACACAGTCGACAAACAATGTTAAATACTTTTTGATACCATTTGTCGATGAGCAGTCCAACACTCTCTCTAGCGTTTTAAATAAAATGAACATTAGATTAGCATACAGAAATATTTCTCGTTTAAACACATATATTAAAACTCATAAAGATCCCATTACATTTAACCAGAATAAAAACATCGTGTATTATATTGAATGTGAAATTTGTAATGCTTGTTATGTCAGACAAACTGGGAGACAATTAGGCACGAGAATCAAAGAACACATGAATTATGTCAAAAAGAAATCTTAAAACTCATTCTTGTCTGATCATTGTTTAAACACCGACCATAAATTCAATTGGAACACAATTAAAATTTTAGACAAAGAAATGAATTATTACAAACGAACCACATCGGAAATGCTACACATCAAGATGAACGCTAACACTTTAAATATTATGAATGATACTGACTTATTAGATAAATCTTACTTACCGATTATCGATAAAATTCTTTGACTCTCGATATTTTATACTTTGACTTTTCATATTTATTGTTTTGACTCTTAGTTTAATCCTCACATTCGATCTTGACACATTATAACCGTTGTCTAACACACATTGTTATCATTTAAAATAGAAGTGTATATAAAGGTGCGTTTTCCGTCTTTCTGCATATCACCAACTTGTAATTATATTTAACACACATTGTAAAATAATTATTGTATTATATTTGCAGTCTTGCGACTGATGAAGACTGAATAAACAGTCGAAACGTTTCGCTCTTCAACATTACATATTGTTTCATTGCACAACACCCTTCATAATTGGTTCATACTCGCCGTCTTCTTACACATTCTTACATATTTGTTTTTTATCAATTGAACCAGAGGACAACCTTCATTTTTGATACTGTTTTATTTATTTGTAATTTGTATCACTTAATCCGTGCATTACATAAATCATTGTCAATCACGGTGAGTTGCGCCGCCTCTGTCTATCTTTTGTATCCGACTCGTGGTAAGTCACCTATTTTTATTAATAACTCAAAAAGTAAGCTTCAGACAAAATTTTGTCAAATAAAAAGTTGTTCTAGAATTTAGTCAAGAATATGTATTTTCAAGGATAAAAAGTTGTTCTGAATCATCTTGTATTGTATATTCTACGAAATGTGTGATGTCTCGAAAAACTTACCTTTTTAAAAAAGGTAAAAAAAAGACGCCAAGTACACGCCAAACAAACAGAACAAAAACAAACAATATAAAACAAAAATCATTTTACTATATATATTCTTTCTCTATAAAATCTGTTTTACAAAAGAAGTGATATCAGAAAGTAGCACCAAATAAAATTTTGGACGTCAGAAGACCCAGAATAACTTTTTTTTCCGTGAACAAAGAAAAACATTTTTGACATAAGTCTGTCTGTTTTCGGTGCAGCCGCGCCTTTTTTTGCAGTAAATAGTTCTTATGTTAAAAATTTTTTTGTTTGTTCACGGGAAAAAATACGATACTTTAATCTAAAAAAATATATATTTATGTATAGCTTTATAATATATTGTATATTTTAGATATAAAATTATTGCATTCTTATATGAAGCTTTTTTTTCTTTCATATATCTTCATGTGTTTTTAATGCAATTTCTATAAAAAATAAAACTATTTTTATATGCAATATTACTTAATAATTGCAGTAACACTGAATTATTGCATATTCGTTACATTGCAATGTTGCTATGATGTTTCGTTGCAATCTTCCTAAAAGCGAACATTTGAACGTTGCTGTAATTCAACAATAATGATGCATCAATATTTCACAGTAAAATGGCAATATTGCACCATTGCGGTGAAAGATTTCTGCAATGTATATGCAATATTTGTGTGCTGTATCGGCAATGAGATAGTCAAATCATAATTTGAAAATCGTTGCAATATATATTTTGACTTTTCACAAAAAATAAACTCTAACTATTGATATAATTATTTTATACTTTCTATTATTTTATGATGTGTTACCTTGCGTGAGGATGCTGCGAGGGAGGGACGCCGAGGAGAAATAATATTATTTTATAATTTTCGTTATTCGTACAAATAAACCCTTTTACGAGGGTGAAAAGTTTCCGGCCTGACCTAGAAATGGCGCCAGCAGGTCTAATTTTTGGCTTGTATTCTATAGTACTATATCTCACTAGCTTGTATATAAATTTTTAGGTCGATTGCTCTGTTAGTGTACATTTGAGAGCCAATTGAACAAGACGCCTCGCTTGCTTACGTGAAAATGGAAAAATCAGAGAAACGTGCGGTCATCAAATACTTTTATTTAAAAGGCCTAACACCATTACAAATTAAAGAAGAGCTGGATTCCACACTGAAAGACTCTTTTCTATTATATTCAACGGTTAAACAGTAGGTTTCTAAATTTAAGAAAGGTCGCACAAGCACTTCTGACGATCCACGTTCAGGACGTCCCGTTGAGGTCACAACTCCCGAAATGATTGAAAAAATTCATAAAATAGTGATGGAGGACCGCAGATTAAAAGTAAGTAAGATAGCTGAGGCTACTAAGATGTCAACTGAACGTGTACGCAATATTTTACATGAACATTTGAGCATAAGGAAGCTCTGTGCTAAGTAGGTGCCGCGTTTGCTAACGGTCGATCAAAAATTCACCCGGAAAACTGTTTCAATCGAAAATTTGGCGCTATACAAGCGAAAACCCAGCGAATTTTTGCGTCGATTTATAACTGTGAATGAAACTTGGATTCACCACTACACTCCTGAAAGTAAACAACAGTCGAAACAATGAATTGGACCAGGTGAACCAACTCCAAAGAAGGCAAAAACAATTTTATCGGCGAATAAGGTTATGGCGACTGTTTTTTGGGATGCGAAAAGAATTATTTTCATTGATTACCTGGAGAAGAGTAAAACCATCACTGGTCAATACTACGCAAAGTTATTGCAGCGTTTGAAGGACGAAGTAAAAAATAAACGACCTCACTTGGCAAAGAAAAAAATCTTGTTTCACCATGACAACGTACAGAGGAGTGCACCACATCGTTCCGCTCCAGGAGAAGTACTTCTCGGAAATTTCTCCTCCGACTGTCCCTACTACTGCGCTACCGTTTTTCTTCAATCTCGGGCCGCTGGCAGAGATCGAAAAAGTACGGCGCGCGGTAGTAGAAGCAATCAGAAGAGAAATTTTAGAGAAAATCTTCCCTTAGAGCAGAACGATACGGTGCACTCCTCTGTACCTGCCCATTCGTCGGTCGTTGCGATGGCTAAAATTAACAAATTGAAGTTCGAATTGTTCTCCCAACCAGTATCTTCACCAGATTTAGCCCCCAGCGACTATCATTTGTTTCCTAACCTTAAAAAATAGCTCGGAGGTAAAAAATTTGAGAGCAACAAGGAAGTCATTGATGCTGTAAATGAGTATTTTGAGGCACTTGACATATCGGACTAAAAAATGGTATTACTGCATTAGAGATCGTTATGAAAAATGTATTAATCTTGATGGAGATTATGTTGAAAAATGAAGCAAAAAAAAAACAAAAAATGTTGTTTTTCTTTATCAAGCCGGAAACTTTTCACTCTACCCTCGTATTCCTTACTTTGCTTTTGTTACACTTTCACTCACTTGCGATAAGTTTTTACGAGCGATGCTCTGACAGGCAGAGCCTCCGGCCGCGACACTACTCTAGACGGTTCTACCCGCCGGTTCTGCTCGGACACCGGCTTTTATCCTCAAGCTAATCACTTTGTGATTGGCCGAGGAAAATCAGGCGACATCCGGTTTTTGAAAAATGCAATGCAGACCATTGCAACTTTTCGGCTGCATGTGCGATCTTTGACCGGTATATACTTGTGCGCGCGGTCGCATATCGCCTCGCGACTGCTGACTGGACATCCGTGCCGGATTCCAATTTCCCTTTTTAACACGACTACACCTAGTAACTTAAAATCCAGGTTTAAATGATATTCTATCATTACTTAATATATGTTACATAATATTGGGTTGGTGGAAAAGTTCTGCGGATTTTTAGTATAAAATTTAAACACAAAAACGACATTTAAAAAAATTTAATTTAGTCCACAATGTGTTAATCGTCTTGATCTACAACTTGTTGCCAACGTTTCGGTAGGGCCTTGATGTCGCTCTCGTAAAACCCTCGGGACTTGTGGGCGAAAAAATCAACGCGGTGATTTCGGATGGCCTCCATTGAGTCGAATTGATGACCGTCAACATTGTTTTGCAGCGAGCAAAAAGGGAATAATCAGACGGTGCAAGATCCGGCGAATATGGTGGGTGCTGCATCATTTCCCAGCCAAAGCTCTGTAATTTTTTTTTCGTGATCAAAGAAGTACGTGGTCGAGCGTTGTCATGATGGAAAATCACATCTTTTCTATTCGACAATTCTGGCCACTTCTCTTGCACTACCTTGCGCAATTTGTCGAGCTGAGCGCAGTATTTCCTCGAATCTATTGTTTGGTCCTGCGACAGCAGCTCGAATTACAGCACTCCTTTATAGTCCCACCAAATACATACCGTTACTTTCTGTGGATGCAAATTAGGTTTTGCCATCGTTTGTGAAGACTCGCCCGGACCGCACCACGACTTCCGCCGCTTAATGTTGTTGTAGACAACCCATTTCTCGTCTCCAGTGATGATCCGTTTTAAAAATGGGTCTAGAGAGTTTTGTTTCAGGAGAGATTCACACACTACAATCCGATCCATGATGTTCTTTTTGCTCAGTTCGTGCGGCACCCATACATCAAGCTTTTTCACCATGCCAAGCTTTTTTACTCGATCCATAACGGTTGTATGATGAATGCCGAAGCGCTTCGCAATCTCTCGAGTCGTTAAGTGTCGATCACTCTTCACTGTAGCCAGGAGTTGGTCGTCGTCAACAGAATTTGGCCGTCCAAAGCATGGTGTATCTTGGAGGTTAAATTCCGGAACGGAAGCGAGCAAACCATCTGTTGCATGTGTCTGCGCTTACGGCCGAGGCACCAAACATGGCGCATATTTTGCGCTTAGCGTCTGCCGCTTTATATCCTTTACGGAATAAAAACAGCAAAATATGGCGAAAATGCAATTTTTGATCTTCCATTTTAGTTGTATGCCGTACACGCAAAACACGTCCGACCAAAACAAACACTTCTGCCAAATGTCAAGCGTAGTGTGACTTGTCAAAATATGTGCGGCAGATTGACATTTGAACAACACGCAATAATTATTTTCTGACACTAGTGTCATCTATTAAAAAATCCGCAGAACTTTTCCACCAACCCAATACATAATACATAACATACAACACGTAACTTATAACAGATGTTTTCAATAGTTTAAAATGTACACAAGTGTACTTGTGGTGCTACTTTTTTATATCACTTCTTTTGTAACGTAGGTTTTGTAGAAAAATGATGTTTATAGTATGTTGTTTTATAGTAAAAATAAAATACATTGTTTTTATAAATACTAGTTTGAGTTTAGAATTTTAATTTAAAGTATGTGTATATAATACATGTACGTGTACTTCGCGCACTTTTTTATCTTTTTTAAAAAAATATTTTTTATACATAAACAACTCAATCTCTTTTGACTTTCAATTTGAGACTTACTCTACAGATGTGTTGACGTATTCTCATTTTAATTTTTGACAGTTATTAGCAACACATATCATACACAAATTGTAATTTATATGGTAATGTGATTGTATTGTGATTTATATAGTAATGCGATCGTATTTTCGAAATTTTACTGTTGTCCAAAAGTACGTATTATTCCACATCGATATTGGTTCTTACAAAAATATTTTTGTCAATCCTTGTACTTGTTGTAAACTTATTCAAACTATATATTGTATTATCAGATTCTACACTGAAGAGAACTTGAAATAAAGTCAAAACGTTTTGTTCTAATTATTGAATATTATCAATGCAAAACATCCTGCAAATTGTTCACATTGGCCGTTTTCACTACATCTATTAGTTTGGATTAACCGTCGAGGAATCAGAGGTCACTTCTCTTTAACTCATTTTATTTAATAAAGTATTTATTTTATATTTTATAGTTTTATATCATTTTATTATAAAACAGTGCTATTAATAAACAGTACTAATGATGACAACAATAAATTCTGATCGAAACGTCCGGAATACACTGCGTTTTATGTCAATTTGAATGTCCACCTTCAACCGGGACCATAGGTTCTTTGGTTTATTGCTTCTTATTATTTAATAAACTTTTTGATTAAAGACTAGAGAAAAGAGAGTGTCACTCTGCGTACGATCTGTCTACCAAGATTCCTAGCTGTCATATTTTGTTGCTGTCTTCACAATGCTGCTGAAAATAATCTACGGCTTAAACGCTAAAACTAACATGATCCTTATGTAAAAAACTGTTAGCAATTATGATATTCTTTAAAAAAATGCTGCATATTAATTAATGTATCTAATATCAATTAATGTACATTTATCAATACATGTACATTTTTTTTTATTTATAAGGATCATGTATTAATAACTATATATAGGTTAATTAGTTTTTAATACTTTTAATGAATATATTTATTGCTAATCATTATTATTCAAAAGAGGACAACAATTCAAGTTAACAGTTTATTTATACAAAAATAAGAATAAATCAGGCTTATTGGAGGAATCACTATACACAAAACGCATTGTGCTGTCCGCCGCAAGACCAAAATGGTAATACTTTGTTGTTTTTTTGCAACGAAAAAGACCAAAGAAAATTAATGTAAACAATGACCGATATGTACCAAAATACAGAACTAATTTTATGTTGAAATTATCTTTATTTCTATTTTCTTCATTTATGTTATTTATAAGAATGAAAACAAATTATTTAAAACACTATTTGGAAAGTTCTGAGATTAATTATGTTTTAGAACAGTTATGTAACACAATGGTTTAATAGAATAAAAAATAAAATTAAATAAAACCAAAAAGTCGTCAATTCAGCGGGTGATGGCTGTAGTATTTCTTCAAAATTTGAGAAATTCACATGTAAATGAATGAACGTTTTGATAATTTATTTTAATCTTTATCAACAATAAATTCTAAAACACATTATTAAAGAGTGACCCCAAAAATCACCGTTTTGGAGTCCTCAAATTTTGAACCAAATGATATGCTTAATGATAGCTTATGATGAGACATTGATCACAGAACAATTTCACATTGAGTCTTCTTTTCGTTTCGGAGATAGACGAGATCAAACTTACTAAGTTGGATGAGAAAAGAGTATCAATATCGTGACATTATTTGTGACATACGTCACAAATAAATCTACAAAACTGTCTATCGGAACTCACCGATTTTGATGGGACAACTTTGCACACTTGTAAAACTGTGACAAATAATCGACATATATTTTTTTATATTGGCATTTATTTTTTTTATATCAACATATAGTTTTTATATTTCTTTTATAAAACAATAAGCATGCATCAGGCGCGTAAGACAGCCCGGCGCGCTTCGCGCGCTCACGGTGTTACTCGTAGCAACGTATGGGAGAAGCTAATATAACAGCATATACTATTACATATACGTAATAAAAGGTAACCGAGCGAAAAACATGCTTATTCGGATCTTTGTTAAGTAAGATCTTGGTAACGAATCTCGCAAAATGGTATAAGATTTTTCGACTTAGTTTTACTTCTTCTATTTGCCGAGGAGAGATTACACCATTTGTCGGACACTCACATATACAGGGTGGGACACTAACTCTGTCCACCTGGAATATTTCCGCTATTTTTGGAGATATAAAAATATTGCAATTACAAAAGTTGTATGATATCAAGAGAGGTATAAGATGCTACTAATAATTTTTTTGTTGGTGGAGGCGCTTCGGAGATTTCAAGATCATCTCTATTTTTTTAAATGGTATGCTATACTTTTTTATCCCTACTGCAATAGCAAATATTGAAACAATTTCAACGACATATAACACAAGGTCATTCGGTCATTAAACAAAAGAGTAAAATGATTCTTACGTCATGAGAGATGCTCGAAATCATGTCCGTTTACATTATGCGTTGTTTTGCATAGCTTAAGATTCCAAAATAAAAAATATAGGTTTATAATATAAGAAAAAAGGTGATCTTGAAATGATTTTAAAAGTGCCCACGCATTAAAAAACTAATAGTGCCATTTAAATCCTCACTCAAAATACTGAAAGACATGCGTCAGTTTATTATTTAAAAAAAAATCAATTGTCTACGAGATTTTTTGCTGTGTCAACTTAAATGAGACACTCTGTATATTTATTTTGCAACAAACATCCAGTGTAACGCTCTTAATGACCGTTTTAATTATTGTTAAGTTTTAAATTTCTTAAGCCGAATTTCTACATTAGAAGTTACATATACAGGGTGTTTCAGAACTATGGGATCAAACTTCTAGGGGTTATTCAGTGCAACAGTAGAAAACATTTGAGTATAGGGACCCATGTCCGGAAAAGTGTCACTACCGCACTACGGCCCTAAGACGCGTTAAAATTTAGAAAGACGATAAATTGCCTAAATAGGATTTAATGCATTTAATTTTTGCCTTTTGACATTTTGAACAATTGTTGTGATGATATCATGTACAAAAGGCAAACATTAAATGCATTAAATCCTATTTAGGCAATTCATCGTCTTTCTAAATTTTAACGCGTCTTAGGGCCGTAGTGCGGTAGTGACACTTTTCCGGACATGGGTCCCTATACTCAAATGTTTTCTACTGTTGCACTGAATAACCCCTAGAAGTTTGATCCCATAGTTCTGAAACACCCTGTATATAGTTATATAGTTTAATATAAAAAGATACATATAAGTAATATATTAATGTGGATTACTCTTTACTAATAAAGAAAAACATTGAATGTAGATGAAGGTCTCATGTTCGAACTTGCACAAGACGAGATAGAATGTGGAATGGGTGTACACGGAGAAGTAGGATATCAGAGAATGAAACTCAGAACCGCATCCGAAGTTGTTACGCTAATGTTAAAGCATATTTGCAAGGACTTATCTTTAACTGCTAATGACATGGTCGCAGTTATAATTAACAATTTTGGTGCTTTGAGTCAATTAGAGCAAGCAATTGTTGTTTACGAAGTTGTAAATCAGCTCAGTAAGTATGTTATCTTTGTTTTCTTACGCAATAAATAGAGTTGTTTCAAGACAGAAAATTATTATTAACTATTTAAAACCAGAAACGAAAAGTAAATCTATCCTAGCAAATACAAAATATAACAGCTATGTAAAAAAATTAACAAGCAATACTAATAATATAACAGATTTTACGGTGTATTTTACAGTTACGTTGTTTTTACATAACATTTCTTTGAACATAATAGCTCTTTAATAGCTAATAATTTTTATGTAGCTTTGTTATTTTTATTAATAAAAGAAAATCGTAGCAATATAATGAAACATGTTCTGCAAAGTATTCTATTTAGCAATGCTAAAATGTTATGAAAATGTTATGTGTTACGTTCTGGCCGATGAATACGAGAGCGGTGCACTTGGATATGGTGCAATTAAACATGGTGCACTTAGACACGGTGCAAATAAACACAAACTTTTAGACACAATTCAATAAGACACCATTTAATTAGACCATGCAATTGCGCAGTGTTCATTTAGACATTGTTCATTTGCGTACTGTTCATTTGGACACAGAAAGAGTCGCACTGTTCACTTGGACACAAAAAGTTGCACACTGTTCAGTTGAACACAGAAAGAGTCGCACTGTTTTCTTGGACACAAAAATTTGCACATTGTTCACTTGGACACAGAAAGTGTCGCACACTGTTAACTTCCCTGATAAGAAAACATTTATAAAAAAATGTGACAAAATTTTGCATTAAAATTATAATTTGCAATTATATTAAATATATATATTTTTTGTGCAGCAATTTTAAGGTAAAGTTAAGTAGAGTGAGGCCATTGAGCACTGTGATGAACCATCACTGTTATTGCTCAATGACCTAGTTAAGTTGCAGGGCAGCAACAGTTCCAGGAAGAACTGCTGGTTGTCACAGGGTGCGACACATCGCCGCATTGTCCGAAATCCAACGCGGCATGTGTACGACACCGGCACCGGTAACTAGCACGGCCGTTGCTAGGGTCTGCTATATCGGCACGATCGATCTACTATAAATCGATCGCACAGATGAAACAGGGCAGAGATTGTATAGGACTGCTAGCTCACTGTGTGGCTCCGCAAGCCGAAAAGTGTACTGCAATGAGAAATAGCCGTGAAGGAACATTGTAAAGGAACAGAAGCGCAATAAAGATATTTTAAATAAGATCAGACTTAGAACTTATCTCTCACCGACCAGTCTCTCCTCAACATCCAACAAATTTTAGAATATAGATGTAAAAACATTAACCTTTTATGAAATATTTGTAGTTGTTTGCAAAATTACTTTCCAAATACTATTTCAGCAAAAGAATAAAGATATGGCGAATCATCTTAGCAGTATATTTGCGAAATGAACTTAAAAAAAAATTGTCCAATAATTGAGAAAAAAATTTTAGCTATGTGATGTTTAAAATATGTAGAAATATAATTGCATATGAAGAAATCAACTTAACGCATGTACAGTAGGGAGCACCATATCGTGCGGCTCCAGGGGAAGTATTTCTCGGAAATTTCTTCTTTAACTGCTTCTATTACTGCGCGCTCTTCTTCTTCGATCTCGGACCGTTGGCGGAGACCAAAGAAGAACGGCGCGCGATAGTATAGAGCATCCAAAAGAGAAATTCCCGAAAAATATTTCTCCTGGAGCCGCACGATATGGTGCTCCCTACTGTATATATTTATAAAAATGCATAACAACTCTTTTCCAATTTTTAACAAATGTTATTTACAAAATTTTATTTTGACAAAACTGTTGCGTTATGGCAAATCATCTTAGTGCAATCATTGCAAAATCGTCGTCATTCATTATGTTATTTTTGTGCAATATTTTCACAATTTGCTTACTGGCGTTAGACACCGTTCAATTGCACACTATCCGGGGGAATGCAGTCCCGTCTGCTACATGCTTACAACACGAACGCGCATCTTTCTTCATTCAAATGAACAGTGCGCAATTGAACCTTGCCTAAAAGTTTGTGTTTATTTGCACCGTATTCAATTGCACCGTGTTTAATTGTACTGTGTCTAAATGAAGGCCACTTTCTGACATCTGTGAAAGTAAAGGTTATTAGGGCTGGTTATTAGGGTCCATTATTGTCAAGATTTACCAATAATTTTTAAAACATGCATATAATGCTCATGTTTGAACTTAGTAAAAAACAAAGTTGAACGTCATGTACTGTCTGGGATAAATAACTTTTATTATCTCTCAATATCTTTTTCATTTATTAATATCTTAATATCTTTTTTATGATATAGAACATATGAATATAACACCTATTCGAGTCTACTCTGGAGTTCTAATGACATCCTTAAATAGCGCTGGAATTCATGTAAGTGTGTTAAAATTAAACGGAAAGTATATGTTTACGTTGATCACGTATCTTGATGCTGAAACGATGGCACCATGCTGGCCAGGCCGCAGTTATAACATTCCTTCATCTTTTATGCGCACTTCGTTTGAAGAAGATGAACTAAAAGAACATGAGACTAGTTCTGTTTCAGTAGTCAAAACTAGTATAAACTCAGTTATGAAGTCGATAAATGAGGAAGTATCATTAAGCTTTCCTTATACGTCCTACAATTATGATAAAATATGTGATGAAACATTGTTTAATAATTGTTTACATGCTGTGTCACGTGTGTTTACAAATAGCAATACTCGAAATTACCTTAATGAGCTAGATCGCGGTTGCGGAGATGGAGATTGTGGTGATACAATGCACACATTTGGAAATGGTGCGTAACATACACTATATCTTGACAAACATAATTTTCACTAATGTATTTAATGTGTTTTGGTAAGATTTTTGAAAAACAACATTTAAATTAATAATTAATAATTAACATTTTAATATTTTTAATACATCAAACTCTCTCTCTCTCTCTCTCTCTCTCTCTCTCTAAATATTAATAATGTGTGTACTAATTTTACATGTTTACAGAACTTGTTACTTATCTTGAGTCACCATGCAAACATCTCCAGTCAGCATTATTTCAACTAGCAAATATAATGTCATGCAACGTAGGTGGAACTACTGGAGCCCTGTACTGTTTATTCTTTACGGCCAGTGCAAAAATATTACCATCACTAGCAAGTGATCCAAATAGTTTGGATACACAGTGTATTTGGTTTCGTGTGTTTTGCAGCGGTTTAGATTGTTTAAAAAAATATGGAAAAGTGAAAGCCGGAGATAGATCTATGGTTTGTATTTTTATACATATATATTCTATCTCTCTCTCTTTCTCTCTCACTCACTCACTCACTCATCAAAGAAGAAGGGTCGATACGCCTAACCTAACCACCTGCAAATTTTGTTCATAGCAAAACTGTCACATAGTGTCCTGTGCGGTGCGCGGCAGTAGAAATCGAGTCTCCGTACCGCTGAGTGTGCAAAGTAGTGATAGCAAAAATTTTTTCCGTTCCACAATACTTTATGCGCGCGCGCGTGTGTGTGTGAAAAGTTATTTAAAAGCAAATCTGGATTTTATACAGCTAGCCGGCCTAAGTAGTAAACGACGCATTATCGATACGTAAAATAATGTATCTGGCGCCTAAAGTGTCACTATAGGGCATAGACATATAAGAATAGACTAGAAATTGCGAGGTAGTCACTTTGCGACATGTTGTAGCTACATTGTGTGAATTCGCGAATCAGCGAAAATAACCAATCGCTTCTCTCTGAAGTTTCACAAAATTTGACAGTATGAATGCTGTACGTAACACAGTAGAAAAAATTAACGTACAGTCGCGGTCACTGAATCGTTTTGTGGACGCAAGGGGCTAGGGGTAAGAAGGACGGTATTCTACTTACTAGTAGTAAGTACTGCCAACGGGCGCCGTACTAACTAACAGTAGCAGATCTCGATGTATTGATCAATTACGGTAGTCGATTGGTTAATGTGACAAACGTGAATGGTCAATTCCGCGAGATTTGCGACCTGCGTTTGCGTCTCATTGATTGGCCATTGCATTGCGCGTAAAGGCCATTCTGCATAAGACCCAAGCACGAGTCGCAATTCGCAGATCTCGCGGAATTGACCATTCACGTTTGTCACAGTAATCAATCGACTAACGTAATTAGTCAATTTATCGAGATCAGCGTTACTACAGTTAGTTAATACGTTGACAGCGCCCGTTGGCAGTACTTACTGCTAGGGAATACCGTCCCTTTTACTCCTAGCCTCGCGTCCACGAAACGATTCAGTGACCGCGAGTGTACAATCGTACTTATAGACGTATACGTTGAGTCAGTGTAACTTAATAAAATCGTGTTTTTACATTTGTGTCATTCGTGTGTAGAATAAAAATACACATATAGAAATGTTTCTATTATGTATATTTTTTACTTGGAAAAATTCGCGTACGTTGTACATTCAACGTGCATGTTTGCTTGTTTCACGCAAAGCTTACTTTACTCTTTTCGTCAACAGTTATTTTAGTTTAAACCGCGTTAGTGTAATTTTTATACCGATGAAGAAGATGTAGTAGTAGAGATAAGGTAATGTGACAAAAGGGGGAATTGGGGGTGTTATGGCAGGATGGATTGCCATAGTAGACGTGTCATTTGTCCATTATCTTTATTGAGATTGTTTGAATGTTTATATATTTCCAAGAACTCCATATATTTTCTAGAAGAACATCAGTCAGCAATATGTCTAAAACACTACTCACAATCGGCATTAGCAAAACACCATTTAGAAATTGGTTACAAAATCATGTTTGACCAAACCTAAGTATGAAACAAAACTGCAACTTACTTTCCTAGAAAATATATCGAGTCCTTGGAGATATACAAACATCCAAACAATCTCAATAAAGATAATAGACAAATGAAACGTCTACTATGGCAATCCATCCTGCTATAACACCCTCACTCCCCTTTACCATTACCTTATCCTTACTACTACATCTTCTCCACTACATCCTCTTCTCCATAATATGGCGCTATAAAAAGGGACACCTGTTCAAAAGCATCTCAGTATCAGGCTGAGTATCTTGAAACCCTGATAAAGTGAGCTGAAATATTCACAAAATGTCGGTATAAAAATGACACTAACGCATTTTAAACTTGAAAAACATCTTTGAATGTTAATATAACACACCGCGAAAGCATCAAATATCAGTTATCCTAGTGTATTTGTATTAGCGTATCGATGTACTCGGAGCAATCTTCTATCTGCGATAACCGGCGTTATTTGCGCGGAAGATTTTGTCTAGTGTATAGTAAACATGTAGTACACATTACTAACTATTAGCCACTTGTCAAGTAAGTGTTGAAGAGCAAAGAATGGTCAATGATCTCATGTACAAATATTATCAACAATTGAAAAACAACGACAAACTTGTATTCAATATTGACAAAATTGATTCTATAAACGATAAGACACTTAAAATTTAATTTTCTTATAATAAAAAACAATTCTAGCAAATCTGTAGTTTCATCAAACTTGTGAGCATGTTATAACAAAGCAGCTTTCTTCCGCGGCTTTGCCCGGCCTTCCGTCTACCGGACAGCTCGGTCGAAAACCAGGATTTGAGTGAAAGAAAGAAAGAAATTGCGACACGTTCCGTTTCCGGTCAAAACTTATATTTAAATCGTCGAGAATTACAATTTTCTTTTACGCAGGACGGCGTTACACTTTGTGTTGTACAATCGGTTTTATTCCTTACAAGGGAAGTTACGCAAGTGTCCCTTTCCGATTTTGATAAGCTTTGAATATGTTGTAAAATAGCTAAAAATAAGAAACCCGTATTTTTTTTTATGCGCTTTCTTGCACATTTGGGAAGTGATACACTCCTTCGAAAAAAAACCGGTTTTTTTGTTTTATGCGAGTATCATCAAAACGGTAAGAGATATAAAAAAATGTTTCAAATAAAAGTTGCATAGTATTTCATAGGCTTTACAACCGCGTAGTTGGATTTATTTTTCATTCAACATTTTTTTATTTACCCCCACCTGTCATTTTTTTTCAAATTTTCAAAATTTTTGTAAGGAAAATTTGTAGCATTTTTTACGCTGAATTCAACCATATATGATTTTCTTATGTTTCAAAGTCGCATCTTTCAAAAATAAACCATCAATATCGTATTATATGCGTCGCGCTGCATGACTCATCATTTATATCGCGCTTTAATCGTAATAGGCGATACAAAAATCAAAGAATGAAAATAGTTACGTCGTTACGTATTGGATAAAGTTGTAATCACAGAGCAAAGAGCAAAGTTTAAAAGCGTTGCTAAAACATTTCTTCCACTGATGCTTTACACATTTAATTTATTTAACAGAAATTAATTTTATATAATATTATTGTTGTGCGCCAATTTTTGTCTTTAAGGTTTAGTAAGATGAGGCCATTGAGTAATGTGATGAGACATCACTGTCATTGCTCAATGACCTAGATAAGTTGCAGGAAGGCAGCAGTTCTGAAGAACTGTTGGTTGCCACAGGGTGCGACACATCGCCGCATTGTCCGAAGTGCAACGCAGCATGTGTCGACATCGGCACCGGTAACTAGCACGGCCGTTGCTAGGACCGGTGGGCCTGCTGATCGATCTGCTATAAATCGATCGCGTGGATGAAACAGAGAGAGACCGTGGTTGAACTGCTAGCTCACTGTGTGGCTCCGCAAGCCGGAGAGTTTACCGCAGTTAGGTACAGCCGTGTAAGAAACGTTAAAAGAACATTGTAAAAATCAGGAGCAATAAAGGATATTTTACTAAATTCAAGTACAGAACTTAATCTTCCAACCACCCAACCTCCTCGACATTCAACAAATTTTGGTGGCAGCGGTGGGATCTCTCATTCTGTGTGTCAAGGACGGGACTCAGCAGGTGATTCCGGTTGGATCAAAAGAAAGCAAGGACACTGGGTGAGAAAGAAGAAAAAAAAACGAGAACGATTGAGTTTTAGTTTTTTTTTAAGGGGGTATATTTAAAGAGAAAGTGTATAAAAATATGTATATGTAAAAAAATCATATATATGGAACCCCGCTTAGAAGAATACTGCTTCTGAAACAAAAAAAAGCAGTCATTAAAAGAGTGTCTTGCGAACTACGGGTTCAAGAGAGAAAGAAAGACACCGCGAACTCACAGTCTCGAGTTACACGGCAACACTGACCTAACGCAAGCCAAGCGACGGGCAGTGACACAAGGCGGAGATAAGGAAGCGGCCGGATTGCAGCAGCAGAACGGAAAACAAAATCTACCGCCAGGAAATTCCGGAAGCAGAAAAAGGTAGCAGAAAAGCAGCGAGACAACGGACCAGCAAAGCGGCGAGGCAGCGGCAGCGGCGGCGCGAGGAAAGCTAAGTCAGCAACACCACGCAGATACGACTCTCGTAAGCGGAATTGGGTCAACTACTGTAAGTCGAACAAATTTTGTAAAAGCGAGCGAAACATATGTTCGGTAACTGGCGTTTGCAACAACGCGGCGTACAATCCGAGCGAGTAGCGCGGTCGTTACGAAGTCTAATACCGGTACGGGAACCGAGAACCGCACCGGCGGCGCTTTACCAAGACGCAGAAATAAATAGGCAGGATAGGAATTTGAGTCCGAATGTAATTGTAGAAAAAGAATTTCCGTTCGATTTAGACGCTGGTATATCCGGTCATTTACAAAGTGTAATAAATCGCGGTAGAGTTGAAAACAGTGGAACCCCGGCAGTGGTACTCAGAGGTCTTCTTTAATTTCATACGAGAGCAAGTTGTTTTACACAAGACAGCGGGCCGAAATGAATATCGAAAGTATGGATCAAGAATTTGACGAACAAAATATAAACCGGACTCGCGAAGAAGTGAAACGCGAAATTTCCCGAATGCGAAACGAGTTGACTGCGGGCGGGGCCGCGGGAACAAGTGGGCAAGGTTACAACCCCGCTGACGCAATGCTACAGCAGGTAGTGCGGTCATTAGAAATGATAAGTTCCCGAATAGACGCAGTGGATCGGCGGGTGACGGAACTCCGCGAGACACACAAACGCGGGACGGGAGTGTCAATGACGCGACACGTGTACAGACGTCCGAGCGAACAGCTAGACGTAACGTACGGAAGAACAGCTGACGACGTAAGAAATCGCGCCGTGTTGTATAGTGGAAGTCTAAAGTTAAAAGACGTGGTCGGAATGATACCGACGTTTACTGGGAAATCATCCGAGCAAGTTCGAGAATTTTTAAATGCATGCAAGTACGCAGAGGGAATGGTCAACCCTGCAGAGGAACCCGCTCTTTTGCAAGCAGTATTGCGAACCAAGCTGAGAGGGCAAGCATTGATTGACTTTGAAACAAAGAATATTCGCGATTTTGGACAGTTAAAGGCAGAAATAGAAGCTACGTATTCTGCAAAGCGAAGCACTACGCAATTACAAATAGAATTTAACACATTGCGATAAAAGAATAATCAAAGCGCACAAGTTTACGGTCAAAGAGTAAATCAAACGGCCATGGAGTTGTACGAATCTATGGTGGAAGGCAAAGGGCACACCATGGAAGAGAAACGTACAATTATGAACACTATTAAAGGGCAAACGTTGCAACAGTTCCAAATAGGTTTAAGGAGTGACGTCAGGTTGATAATAAGGTCACGCAACTATGGAACGTTGCAAGAGGCAATAAACGCAGCAAGCTCTGAGAAAAAGGTGGCGGTCCCACAAAGCAGCCATGGTGGAAGTTTTGCAGTAAAGCAAAAAATAGGAAAAAATTATAAGAAAAATGCGTGCTACAAATGTGCGGAAAGATCGGACACTACGGAAGAGAGTGCCGATCAAACAGAATGGCATTGCCTAAACCGAGCAGTGGCAAGGTAAATGCTGTGGACAAAAGTGCAGTTATTGCAAGAAAGCAGGGCATATCAAAGAAAATTGCTGGTCACTGAAAGGCAGGAAAAATAAAAAAGGAGCTGTAAAAGCCATATGTGCGGCAAAAGACAGGAAAAAGAAAAGCCGAAGTGACAATAGCGAGTCATCGAGTGACGAAGAGGACAACGGAAAAGAAAAGAAAAAATCCGTGTCAGTAG